CTTTAGAATTTTTTTTCTAATAAAAAGAAAAAGAATTTATCATTTTAAACTTAATGTCATAATGAACCACTAAATATCATTCTAAACACCAATGAGTTAAAAAAATTGGTATATCCAAATTCTATAAATAATCAAATACTTTTTGTATCGTAAAAATAATTTCTTGAACAAATATTTGAAGAAATATTAAGATCTTTAGTCATCTAGTATAATTTAAGATTCACTATTACTCTAACAGGAGAATATGTAGAACAGATTAAAATATAATATTCTGTTTTATGTCTTAAAACTTTGTGAATATACTTTATACATACTTTTCATTTCTTTTTCTTTTTTTTTTCATTAAGATTGCTTTATAATGTTTTGTAAGTGTGTTGCATATTATAATAATAATATTACTAATCTTAATGTGAAACATTGATGTATATTAGTCTTGTTATGTCCCTGATGAAACTCAGCATTTAACATCTTACATGTAGCTTCTGGTAGGTTAAATTGTTTGGTAGTTCAGTTTTTATTTTAGTCTTCCATAAATAAACATGTATTTATTGTTTTTGCATTTTAATATATAATATTTAGATAATTTCTAAAAAGATGTATTACATATGATCAATAAAATAAATTTCCAATTTATTGACATTATACATGACTAAAAAATTGTCTTTGTAGTAACGAATATTATGGTGGCCTATGGGCAACATTTAATTTCGATGGTCTACAGAAATGGATAGAGGACTTGAAAGTTTCCAAAAACAATACTAAGGATGTGTCTGGACTGGATTTGGAATCTGAAGAAAAATTTTTAAAAACTAGTAATGAATATTCAACAGTCGAAAATATTGAAGAAACTTGGTATATTTCAAAGTAAGTTTGTTTCATTTCTTTTTCTTTGATGTCTTTTTGTGGAGAGGTTCAACTGTGTTTTTGTTATAGTGATGCTGATCTACCAGTAGTTTCCTCAAAAGATACTCAGACAGATAGTATTGGAGATATTAGTGGCAGTGGTGATGAAAAAGCAGATGATGATAAAGTTGAAAAGAAGGAAAATGTAAAACAGTGGAGTATAGATCGTATAAAAAAAGAATACAGAAAATTTAATATTGATTTGGCACCAAAGGTATGTTAATATACAAGTATCCTTATATTATATGCAAGACACATTAAGATATTTTGAAGTTGTATAATAAAATAAATTTAAAATTTAATTTTTTTATTTATACAAATAAAAAGGTTGATAAATATAAAAGTATAAATATTGTTATCATTACTTAAAGCTGTAAGTAATAATATATTGAATTCTTCATTATTTTCCTTGATAAATTTTAGTAATAAAAGAAATAGCACTAATGATATATTTAGTTTTACTAAAAGTTACAGTATGTTGTTTTTAATTTTTAGAATACATTTATTTTGTTGTATATTTATAAAGATTTTTGAAAAAATAGAATAGTATGTAATTAGTAAAATCTAAATTATTAGAATATATTCGGATTATTAAAATTTTTTTTATTTTCTCATTTATTATGAAATGTACGTTTTCATTTAGGTAAGTATTATATTTGAAGTGGTAAACAGTATTTTTTGAAATATCATCTAAAATAAATGTGATCTATGATTAACTGAGTCTCTATCATTTATTACTTATACAGAATGATATGTAAATTTACATCTTGATATACTAAATACTCTTTTTCTTATTGTTCTAAAATTTATTTTATTTATTCATAACAGTTGTTATTTGCACGAGGTGAGCTGGTTGAACTTCTAATCTCTAGTAACATTGCTCGTTATGCAGAATTTCGAGCAGTTTCTAGAGTAGCTACATTTATGAATGGAAAGCTAACACAAGTACCTTGTTCAAGAGCTGATGTATTTGCAAATAAAACTGTTAGTGTTGTTGAAAAAAGAATGTTAATGCAACTGCTCACTTCCTGTATGGAGCAAGGTGCAGACAGTCCAGAATTTGATGGTAATTGCTTATTTATATTATTTTTTCTTTCAAGTAGACTTAATTTTATATTATGCTGTATGGTTCGTGTAATATTTTTTAAGTAAAAATCACTTATTTCTTAAAATATAGCAGTTAGTAGCATAT